TATAGCATACATTATACGAAGTTATACGAGGTGGGGCCCGGGCACCCGGGTGGCCGCCGTCCCGCGGGCGGGGGTCGGGCCGAAGGTCGGTGGCTCCGGCCCGGGGTCGCCCCGCGTGGACGGGCGGGGAGACGGCGGTGTCACCTCCCCTGTGCTCCCGGCCGCGGCCTGCTGCTCCGGGTCCCAGCATGACATCTGAGACCGCTCGGTAGAGCCGGCAGGTGGAAGGGCTCGTCTCCCGGGGAGGGGGACATTGGAGCTGAGTCTTTAGGGGGAGAACATCCAGTCGGGGACCGGGATGGGCAACGACACAGAGGCAGAAAGCGGTGAACATGCCCTCTGGGCCCGGGCTGCTTTCTTTTTTGGGGCATTTGCCTGGCCAGTGGGCCACTGGGGCACAGTTAGGAGCCCAGAGGTGGCCTTCGGAAACAGCATCCCTAGCTTTGTTTTTAAACCCAAAGCGACGAGACTGACGGGCGACTCGGAATGGACGATGGTGGGAAAGACATTTTTGCTAGGAGGAAAGTGGAGACGGCTCTTTCCCTCCTGGTGGAGGAGTAAGGCGTGACCAAGGGGACTTGGTGTGGACTGGATTGTTCTGAGAGCTCCTGGAGCAGGTGGTTGAAGGATCCAGAAATCAGCAAGGAAGGGGGCTTGGGAAGAGGACGCTGGTGGAACCAAGTCAGAAGTGGAGCCTTTTCTGTGGCATCTCCTCTCTAATCTGTCTTGCGCCTGCCACCCACCCCTGTCGTTCTCAGGCCCCCAGTCTCGTGCTGGAGGCCTGTGTCAGTGTTTGGTGAGGACAGAGCCTTCGGAGGGAGCTTGGCCAGCAGGCCTCTGAGTGGAAGCGGATTGTTGGATGGCTGTCTTAGAGGGGATGGTGTTTATGGCTAGTGGTAGTCGTTGGTATCTATGTCCAAGCAGAAGCCCAGCCTTGGTTGCTACTACAGGCGACTGGAGAACTCTCAGGGCTCACTGGCTTCTTTGGTTTCATACGTGTTTCTGTAGTTTACATTGAATAATGTAAGCCGGAGAATCTCTCTCTCTCCCTGTCTAGGTGAAACCTAGTTCACTTACTCCTAGGTGTTCTTTACCCTTTTATTTAAAAAAAATTTTTTTTTAAACTTTCTTTTTGCTTAGAATCCAAGAGGATCAAGAGGAAGCAGTCTTTCGAGAAGTGGTCAGTTTTACCCCGGATCCTTTGCCAGGTGAGAAGACCGAAACTCTGAGTACTTTCTGCTAGTCACTCTTGGGGCTTCTGGCCAGGGTGGCTCCCCACCCCCTCTCAAGTTCTCTCTCAGTTACTGTCAAAACATTTCCATTAGTCCCATAATTTCCATTAATTCCTCAATGTTTCCCTCCTTGGACCAGTTAGATATTATGACAAGGACACCACCCAGCCTATCAGCTTTTACTTATCTTCGCTGGAGGAACTCTTGGCGTGGACGCCCTGCATGGAAGACGGCTTTAACACTGCCCTGGAGCCCACAGAGTGTCGCCATCCCCCTCTGAGCAGCCAGAGGCCCCGGACCTTGTTGTGCCATGACATGATGGGCGGGTACCTGGATGACAAGTGAGGACATTGCCTTACATTTTGTTTTTTTTGGTGGCTGGCTGGTATGGGGGGGATCCAAGCCCGTGACCTCAGGGTTATAAGGCTGCACTCTAACCACTGGAAAAACCAGCCAGCCCACCTTACATTTAGTTTGCTGCTTGTTGTCCCTTTGGTGGGGCAGGGCGGGTGCCCTGTGGTAGAAAGAGCTCCAGAGGTGGCATCAGGAGACAGGGTCAAGGCCAGATTCTGCCATTAACTGGGAGACAAGCTCAGGCCTTAGCATCTCATATATAAAAAGAGAGGATTGGATTAGGTGATATCGCATGTCCCTTTCAGCTCTAAACTCACTTGATTCCTTGAACTGCCTCCACTTGAAGTCTGGTAGGTTGGAGGGGGCACAGCAAGTCCCCTTCAGACTGCCTGGCCCAGAAGCCTGTTTCTTTCCTTGGTTTGTTTTTAAAACCTTCGCTTGAGCCCTGGCTTTGTGCTAGGTCTGTCAGCTCTGGCTTTTCCTCCACTCCTATCTGTGGATGGTACACCCACAGTTGCCATGGTGTCAGCTTAGAGATTTTAAACATCCATACCATAATGTCGGGAGTGATGCCTGCATCGGAGCTAGCTGTCACAGCACAGACGGGCAGGTGATGGAACCCTGGGTGCTGCTGCTATGGCTGCGGGCCCTCAAACACAGGTGGCCCATCCTAGAGGGACTGCTAACCACTTTGAACAAAGCAGGGAAGCCAGAGACTAGGAACTTTCACACAAGCCCTCTCTCTTCCTTCCCTTCTCTCCTTTGTTCATCTGCTCACTGGGGCTGAAAGTGCTCAGTCCATCTGGACCCAATGGCAAACGCCTAGTGCCCTGGTAAAAACATTTCCCAAACATCTACTTGTGACGGCAAGGGCTGTGGCTCATTTCTGTGTCTGTCTCTGCCTGCACAGGGCCTGGACACAGCAGGCTTTCAGGTAGTGTCAACTGAAAGGAACCGAAGAGAAACCTTCAGGTCGCCATGTCCTTATTCGGTGTCCTGGGACCTGACTTTGTTGTATTTCTTTACCCAGGTTTATTCAGGGCTCAGCGGTGCAGAATCCCTATTCCTTCTACCACTGGCAGTACATTGACATCTTTGTGTACTTCAGCCACCATACAGTCACCATCCCCCCGGTAGGCTGGACCAATGCTGCCCACAGGCATGGGGTCTGTGTGCTGGGTAAGAGCCAAGGACTCCTCTCTAACTCAGCCAGACTGCTTAGCACACCTGCCAGGTGACCTCGTGATTGACGGCTCAGGCTTTGTCTGCTGCTTAGTGACTAGACTCCTCACCTGGGGACTGCCTTCATAGGTTAGGACGGGTGTCTGCAAACTTTCAGGAAAGGGCCAGATAGTACATATTTTCAGCTTTGCGGGCCACTGGGTCACTGTCATAATCACTAGCATGGAAGCAGCTATAGACAATAGGTAAACAACTGGGTGGGGCTGTGTTCTCATAAAACTGTCCCTCAATATCTTTGGAATTGGTTCCAGGACCCCCTGCAGATACCAAAATCCACAGATATTCAGGTGCCACAGTTGGCCTCCGGAGCTCGCGGATGTGGAAAGTGGACCCCCCGTATACGTGGGTTCCGCATCCTGTGAATACTGTGTTTTTCCGTCTGCAGTTGGTTGAATCCATGGATGTCGAACCTGAACCTGTGGATATGGACCTGCGCAGTTCATGCCTGTGCTGTTCAGGGTCAACTGTATTTAGAAACACAGGTGGTGGCTGGATTAAGCCCAGGGGCCGTAGACTGTGGACTGCGAGCTCAGAACAGTGCTTCTCAGGCTTTAGCCTGAATCCAAATCGTGTGCGGGTTCCTATAACTGCGGTTGCTACTCCTTCTTCCAGAGTGTTTGATTCACTAGGTGGGGCCCAAGAGTTTCAGTGTCTAACAAGTTTTTGGGTGGTACTGATGCTGCTGGCCTGGGGACTGGACTCTGAACTGCTGGGTCAGAGGGAGAGTGATCCCTGCGTCTGAGCCATCGCTCTCCTGTCCTCGCAGGGACTTTCATCACGGAGTGGAGCGAAGGGGGCAGGCTCTGCGAGGCCTTCCTGGCCGGGGACGAGCGCTCGTATCAGGCAGTGGCCGATCAGCTGGTCCAGATGGCTCAGTTTTTTCGCTTTGATGGCTGGCTGATCAACATTGAGAACTCCCTGAGTGTGAGCCTGGCCCTTGTCTTGGCTCTTGCCCCCATCCCCTCCTTGCTGCTTTGCCATCTACCTCCACCTCTTTTCTGGGCTGCATCTTGCCCCATACTTGGGCTCAGGGTTACAACAGTGGGAACTGCTCCTCGCGTCCCAGGCAGAGCCGGCTCTGAAATCTCGGTCACTTGCAGTGATGGCAGCTTCTCCAGCTGTTGGCAGAAAGGAGCCAGGCTGGGCCCTTGCGCTCCCTGCTCCTCCAGTGGGCACTCCTTTCCTCCTTCTCTACCATGGCTCTGCCTGGGCTGGGTGTGTGGCTTCCTTTTCATGGCTGCCCTCTGCTTCCATTGCATTTTATTTTTTTCCTGATTTCTGTGTTCACGTCTTTCCTGCTTCAGCAAGAAAGGAGAATCATGCATCTGGCTGAACCCACCTATTGGTGGCTGCAGGCTGGAGGCTTATTTTGTGGGTCCGTTTGCTCTTGTGTCCTCCTGTCTGTTCTCGTGACAAACATACCTGGGCCTTACCAAGGGTCTTCTCTTCCTCTCTCACAGCCGACTGCTGTGGGGAATCTGCCTCCTTTCCTGCGGTACCTGACCACTCAGCTCCATCGGCAGGTCCCCGGGGGCCTGGTGCTCTGGTATGACAGCGTGCTGCAGAGCGGGCAGCTCAAATGGCAGGACGACGTCCGTTTGCTCTTGTGTCCTCCTGTCTGTTCTCGTGACAAACATACCTGGGCCTTACCAAGGGTCTTCTCTTCCTCTCTGTCTCACAGCCGACTGCTGTGGGGAATCTGCCTCCTTTCCTGCGGTACCTGACCGCTCAGCTCCATCGGCAGGTCCCAGGGGGCCTGGTGCTCTGGTATGACAGCGTGCTGCAGAGCGGGCAGCTCAAATGGCAGGACGAACTCAACAAACAGAACAGGTGGGCTGCAGGGCAGGCGGCAAGGGGACGGAGCCTCGATCTATCTTGTAGGAGCACGACATGCATGGGTGCTTTGGGTAACAGGTGGGAGCAGGCCAGGAGTTATTCAGTGTTCTGATCGTCAGCAGACACAATCAGTGCCCAATTACCCCAATGTTGTGCCGAGGGTCACAGGGCATGATTCAACTGGTCCCTGCTCTTTGGGAGTACACTCTGTCCTCAATCCCCAAGGCAGCCCAGTCTGAGTTAGGAGTGGCCGAGGGTGCTAGGTAGGGAGACAGCTGTGGTTCTCGGGTGGGGACCCCTGTCCCTCTGGGCCTGGGCCTCACGGCAGGTCCTTGCTGCCTCTTAGTGTCTTCTTCGACTCCTGCGACGGCTTCTTCACCAACTATAACTGGCGGGAGGAGCACCTGGAGCGGATGCTGGGGCAGGCCGGGGAGCGCGTGGCCGATGTGTACGTGGGCGTGGACGTGTTTGCTCGGGGGAACGTGGTTGGAGGCCGATTCGACACGGACAAGGTGGGTGCTGGCCTACGTGCCATCCTTGGGGCCTCGTCCCCTTGGGGACCTTCCATTCTCATCTGAACCCCGAGGAAGAGAGGTGGCAGCTGTTCTTCCCAGAGTGGGGAAACTGAGGCATGAGCAACATGGGCGACCTGCCCTGAGGCCAAGCGGCATGCTGGCTGAAATCCTCACTTCCCACCGTTTTACACCAGATAGTATATTTTTACCTGGGTCTTGATGGACAGACACCGTTCTGACTGCTGTCTCATCTCTAGCTAGCCTCGACTTCCTCTCTGTGCTGTTCTTTGAAGAGCACTGAACTAACCTCTCACACCCCGGGGTGGGCCTAGGGAGCGCTTCCTCTCACAGGCAGCTCGGGTTAAGGGCCAGCCGGAGTGCTCGTAGTTTGGGGAGCTGCTGGTGGAAGGCGAGTGAGATTTCTCTGGCAAGATGGGAGGGGGGGCTGTGGGGGTGGGCACCTGGCATGGAAGGAGGGGAGACCTGCCTGCCTCCTGGCCTGTCAGTCCCTCCCCTTCCCCAGGCTACAGGGAGGTAGTCAGTCATTAATTAAGCTTTAAATGAATAAATTAACCCAGTAACTGAAGATTCTCTTTACGCCCTGTGGTTCTATTAATACAGTGACAGGTGCATGTGGAGGCAGCTGAGAAGGCAATTCAGGCAGCCAGTTTGCCCCCCTCTGGTGCCCTGCTGGAGTGTTCCCCCCCACATTCCTCTCCATGGCCAGTGACCCCCATAGTCACCCACCCTTGCACAGTGACCCCCAGGACAGTGCCCCCCACAGAGCCTAGGCTGTGCCATTCTCCTGGCTGCTGCTCCTGTCCCCACTCCTGAGCGGCTTGTGGAACTCCAGGAGATGAAGCCTAAGAGTCCCCAGGTGCAGTCAGGCAGGCCGGGAGTGGACAGCTGCCGCCTCCCCTTTCCAAGCTGGCCTTGAGAGAACTCATCCCTGTGTCACTGGCATCCAGGAGGCCTGTCCGGACTCTGACTGTAGTCCTGGCGTGCCCTGCGTTGCTGGGGTGGAAGACACCTCCCTGGCTTCTGTCTCCCTAGTCGCTGGAGCTGATCCGAAAGCACGGATTCTCAGCTGCTCTGTTTGCTCCGGGCTGGGTGTATGAGTGTTTAGAGAAGAGGGAATTCTTCCAGAACCAGGACAAGTGAGTCCTGCCATCCTAGGGGCTTCAATGTGCTGCCGGGAGGGAGGCATCTCAGTGGTTTCTCTGGCTTCTGGCAGTAGCTCGTGGTCTTTCTGTGCAGTGGCCCTTCCCATCCAGGGGGGACGGCTAAGGGAGGATGAGGGGAGAAGAAAGCAGCCACCTTGCTGCTTCCAGGTGGGGGATCCTGGAGACCAGTTAAGCAGGAAGGAGCACAGGTTGGGGCCCTGAGTGTCCACTTCCCGCAGGCTTGCACCTCTAGTGTGCCCGTAGCGGGCATGGGGGTGTGGGGGGCTGCATTCATCCTGGAAGGCCTGTCTTGGAGGGTGTGGGGAACCTGGAATTACAGCCAGTTCATTCAAAGGCCCCTTGCTCTGGCCTGAGCCGTGTCCTCCCCGCATGTCTCTCTGGCAGATTCTGGCGTCTGCTGGAGCGCTACCTGCCTACACACAGCATCTGCTCCTTGCCCTTTGTTACGTCCTTCTGTCTGGGCATGGGGACACGAAGAGTCTGCTATGGCCAGGTGTGTGGGTCACCACACCGGGTGGATGGGGCAGGGGCAGCTGCTGTGTCCCTCTTCTGGCCTGAGCTGGGGGTGGGGAGGGAGTGCAGGTATGTGAGCGGGACGATGGCAGCTCTGCCCTCCCCGCGCACACCTGTCCCGTTGGCCTCCACTGAGTCTTCTTCTCGTTCTGCCCGTTCGTCCAGGAGGAGGCGGTGGGGCCCTGGTACCACCCAAGCGCCCAGGACATCCAGCCCTTGTTTGGAGAGCACAGGCTGGGGGGGGACGGACGGGGCTGGGTGAAGACGCACTGCTGCCTGGCAGACGCCTGGCATGGGGGCAGCTCCCTGCTCCTGCGGGGGCTCATTCCGCCCGAGCTTGGAAATGTGGCTGTGAGGTGGGTGAGGGACGGGGCAGATGTGTGGGCCACCGACTTCTTGCCAACCTGGGCAGATGGGGACAGAACCCAGGTTGCTTTTCTCTGACTATGCTCAAAAATGCACACCATAAAATTTGCCATCGTAACTGTTTTTAAGTGTCCAGTACAGTGGTGTAACTACGTGCACGTCGCTGTGCAGCAGACCTCTAGAAGTTTGTCATCTTTTAAAACTGAAACTTTCCCACTGAACACCCACTCCCCCTCCCCTCCCTCCAGCCCCTGGAAACCGCCCTTTGCTTTCTGCATCTGTGAGCTATAGACGCTGTGAACGCCTCATATGGGCAGAATCACGTAATTGAGAACTGAGACTTCTCAGCCCGCAAAAGACCCGTCTCCCAGTCGTGGGCAGGATCCCCTCCCTCCAGCCCCTGGAAACCGCCCTTTGCTTTCTGCATCTGTGAGCTATAGACGCTGTAAACGCCTCATATGGGCAGAATCATGTAATTGAGAACTGAGACTTCTCAGCCCGCAAAAGACCCGTCTCCCAGTCGTGGGCAGGATCTGAGTATGGGAACTTTTGCCGCCCAAACTCCCTGATCTTGGGGGGAGAGGTTGGCGGATTCAGTGTGCAGCTAACTCCAGTTTCTCGCCAGTTTCTCTGTGGCCTCTCATCGTAGGATCTTTCTTTCCCAGATTATTTTCCCTGCAGGTACCAGTGCCACCCAAAATCTTCCTGTCCATGGTGTATAAGCTAGAAGGGCCTACGGATGTCAGGGTCGGTTTGGAGCTCACCACGGGGGATGCTGGCAGCTGCCACGTTGGTGACATCTCAGTGTTGGACGGTGAGAGGACAGGGTGGCCTCGTGCCTTGAGCTGGTGTGGACAGTGCTGGGTAAATCCTGCCTTTGCTGGAGTCAGGGCAGCTTGTGGTTGAGGCCTAGACTGGGGGGATTTGCTTCCCAGCCAGAACGTCTGCCCTGTGGCCCCATCGCGCAGCCTCCTGTGCGGTTGGACGTGGGCTACTGCGGGCCTTGGGAGGGAGCTTGTAAGCAGGAAGCCGGGACGAGCGAGACTGTGGCTGGCCCCAGACACCATCCCATCGTTCTCCTCCAAAGCCCTTCCGGGTGATCCACAAGCATCTCGCGCCACCAAGGAGTCTTATCTGGACCCTGGGGCTCCCCCACTCAGCAAACCTCTTGGTGGTCCTTCCCTATGTGTTTTCCTTTGTAATTCTCCTTTCTCAAGTCCCATGTCTCCTCCTCCAGCAGAGACAAGCTCAAGACACAGTCCCCGACCCCTCCGGGTGCCCCCCACCAAGCTGGCCAGATGGGTGGGCCGCTGTAGCCAGCAGCTCAGCGGGGGCTGGGTCCAGCGGTGAGTCTCTCTACTTCCTGTTGGGTCCCCAGCAGGGGACTGCTGCACTGTGGTGGGGACTCGAGGAGTGAGAGTCCCTCCATTGAGATACCCCAGAACTGGAGAGATAGAGGGGTCGTGGGCTGACCTGGGTTTTGGGCAGGTACGAGACATGAGCCCAACATATTCTCTACGAGCATTCAAGGTCATTGCAGGGACCTGCCTTAGACCCATGGTCCCCACTGACCTGGGGTCCCCTCAGGATGGGTCTCCCTGCTGCTGTGGCTTAGGGCCTCTGCACAGCCGGCCGAGGAGCCTCTGAGCCGAGCCCACTTGCTTCTCCCAGCTGCTACGAGGTGAGCCTGCGCGGGTGCCTCCTGCTGGACCTCTTCGTTAACTTCTCGCGGCCACAGGGCAGCCGGGGAGAGGAAAGCTTCATTTGTCGCCTTGGAGAGATCCAGGTGATGCATTCAGGAGGGGCTTGGCCTGAGATGTCCGTCCCTTTTCTGGTTTAGTGGGGAATTGGGGTGCAGGAGCCAGGGAGTGGCGATGTGTGGGGTGGGGGGCACCCTTCCCTTTCCCTGGGCTCCAGCTGTGCTGAGTCTTCTCTGTCTTGCCAGGTGGTGGATGCCAACAGCCTGCAGACCCCCCTGCCCCAGGTGCAGGCCGTTACCGTCTCACAGGTCCGCTGGCAGCATGCCCTGTCAGAGTGGGAGAGCCCTGCCCAGTTGCAGCTCACCTGTACCCTGCACTGGTCCTACCTCCTCTCCCAAGTCCGTTGTTTCCGGATCCACTGCTGGGGAGGGACGATAGGTGGCTCTCCCAGCCAGGAGCCGCCGAAGCCAGAGAAGCCCACATTCCTGGGCCTGGCTTTCACCAACCAGTACCGGATAGTGGACCTGGCAGTAGAAGCTGCTAGGCTTGGCCAGGATGGCCGCGTAGAGTTCCTGGTGGAGCCTGTCCCCAAGGAAGGGTTTCTGGTGCCTCAGGCTGGGTGGGGCAGGGCGACCCTGCTGTACTCAGCCCCACAGTAAGCAGACATTAAAGCACGCAGTCTCCTGGCTGGGGCTGCTTCCTGGCTTTTGGCCGCAGCCGGCATTGGGGCCCCACTACAGGTGCACGGTGGCAGCAAGACCCAGATCCCCAGAAGGCTGGGTTCCTAGCTGGGGGCATTGGTAATAGGAAAACTGAGAAGTCAGTTTGCTGAACTGGTAGTTGCAAGACGAGTGAACAGCCCTCTGCTTTTGTCTGATCCCTGTCTGCAGGACAGAAGTTGCCAGGTCCAAATGAATACTACTTGAGGTTCAGTCCAGGAAAACTTCATGAAGGATATTTCCTAATGGGCTGAAAGATGTTTATGCTGAGAATGGTGAGCTCTTATTCCTGCACACGGAGCAGTTACAAATGTGCTTCAGTTGTGGCAGGAAGGCTTTGGCGCAGGTCCCAGAGACACTTCTGGGGTCAGGACTGAGTTAGCAGAGGCCCTGGGAGGGTCACATTGGCCCTCAGAGGGTGGGGCAGAAGCGATGGCTGCCTGCGGCGTGGTGGAGACAGCGCCCTGGGGAGCAGGCCCCTGGCATCTTGGGAAAGGGAGCTCAGGGCCAGGCTGGCACTGGGCTCAGGCCCCCCAGGCCAGCTGCAGTCCAGACCTCCTCCAGCATGTGTGGCTTTGGCAATGGACTGTTCCTGTGAACTTGAGGTTGCTGCTGGAGCGTCCTCAGCCCCTGGGTCTTGCTGCATCATTTTCAGGCTGTAGGCATGCAGCAAGACTTGCGCCAAGGCCCTCTGTGTGCCTGGTCCCCTCTGCCCAGCGAGACAGACTGAGGGCTCCAGAGCAGCCACCTGCAGGGGAGCTTCAGGACCTTTGAGGCTTTTCCAGTGTTTCTGTTCCTCTGCCCGCTCCCTTCTCAGCCTCGGCTGAGAACCAGATCAAGAACAGAGATCTGGGAGACCTGCAGGCGGGCCGTTGAGTGGGTGTTAGCACCAGCATGGAGGCGGGCGGGGGTGGGCCCCTTCCTCTGTTCTTGTGCCCTCCTTCCCCTGCTCAGGCCTGAGGGGGTGGGGGCCGCAAGCAGCTGGAGATACTTTTGCAGCCTCCCAGTTCTCCGTGGACATCTGGGCTACCGTGGAGGCCCCTGATGTGGTCTCGAGACCCTGCGGCCTTGGGAATCCTGCCAGCATTCCTGTTCTCCTCCAGTGTTCCTATGGGGTCAAAGGCTTGCAGTCCCTTGTTCTTGGGGGTCTCTCAACCCCGCCAGGCCATGTGGGTCCAGTGGTGGGGGGTTACCTTCTTATCCCTCTGTCCTCTTCCTGTGCTCCGTGATGTGGGCTGGTGCTGAGGGCCAGGACACTCTGTGACCCCAGCCGGAGGTCACATCTTAGGTTCAGGATCTGCAGGCTTTACCTTACACTGTAGTGAGGAAAGAGGCCGCCAGGTGGCGGCACAGCTGTGCCCATCCCCTCATCCTGCTCATCAGCTGCGCTGAGTGCCCCGTCTATAGGGCAGGGGGCCTCCCTCCAGGGGCTGACATCTGCTTCTCCACCTTCCCTGCCTTCTGGGCACTCACATACCTCTTCCACAGGCTCAGTCGTAACACAGGGCAGGAGGCCCTGGGATTTGGGGTTCCATGCTCTTTCCTAACGGAATATTCTGTGTCTCACATGTGGCCCAACCAGCCGGCTTTGGTTCCCAGAAGAGGAAATGAGTTGCTGAGGATTCAGGGCAGGAAAGTCACCTGCTGAGCGACTCCAGAACTGAGGTGGTTCCCCTCCCCCACTGGCTTTTCTCCTGTGAATCTGCTCCGGGGGCGGTTGGGGGTGGGGATGTGAGTTGCTGCCACTGGGAGATGCTTCTCTTGGTTTTTCCAGTTTTGATAATTCTCTGGAGCTCTCTGAGCCTCTCCCCCATTTTGAGCTGGGGGAGCCAGAGTGGGGGGCTCCTGGTCTCTCTCGTGTCCCCAGCGGCAGCAGGGGCAGGCTGGCTGTCCACGTGGCCTTGGGCTGGCAGCTGATTCTGGGCAGCATGGTACAAACATTGCTTTGCTTATTTCATGAAGTCTTTTTAAAGTGCTGGTATCTGAGTATTTTATGCATAGGAGGAGTGAAAATTTATAGTGGCAATTATTTTCTCACAGTCTGGTGAGCAAGCAATTAGAAGTAAGGGGGCTTAGCAGAGCGTGGCTTGCGGCAGACTCACCCCAACTCCCCGAGAGCACGGTCCCCAATCCCACCAACAATAAAGGCTCGTAGGCAGGAAAATTAATATGCCGGCATTTAAACCTGTGCCTCTCTGGTTGGTGTAATCGCTCTGAAATAAATTATCCAATGCTGTGAAAAATGAACAACTCAAGTCTTGGTGAGACGTGGTGTGGGGCTCCCTTCCCAGCCCCTGTCCCTCCTCCAGCTGCCCCTCTTCACTGCTCTGACTCCTGCCCACCCTCCCAGGAGTGGGACTCGGATCCTGGGGGCTGGAGAAGAGGGTTCACCCAAGTAACAGCTCTTTGTGGGCCTGTGGCTTGGGGCCGGCCCTGCCATGCGCCACGGTGAGATCTGGAGGCATTCCTCCCCCAGCAGCAGGGCCAGCGCCTCTGCAGCAGCCCCGCTTCCCGCCCCCTGCTCCGTGCCCTCTTGCATTTAGTCGATCAAGCGCAGCTAGAGGTAGCTGCGAGGCCACCCAGCCTAGCCCATCTGCCTCCTGGGGCATCTTCTGCTTTTGTGAGGTCACTGTGACTGCCCAGGAGAAAAGGGACCAGGGCCACCACCCTCTGCCTCAGAACCTGTTGGGGAGTGTGGCGAGACCACACAGAGCTAGCGGGAGCCTCCAACTACCCACCCAGTGTGTCCTGGGATTGAGTGCAGAGGGCCAGTCTGAAGAGGACTGGGAGTCTAGAGTCCCTTGCCTAGAAGGGTCTTCCAACTTCCCTAGTGCCACCTGCTCCAGCCAAAGGCAGGCTGTGTACTAGGACAAGCTGCCTGTCCCAACCCTGCACCCTAGTCCTCATGTGCCCTCCACCCTCTGCTCGGGAGCTGTCAAAGCAAAAGAGCTGTCCTCCTTTGAAGAAAGAAAGCTTTATTAATAATAATACTGTTAATTTGAATGGTCACACCTTGGAAGCATACAGAATGGTACGAAAGGGAGCCTGGGGCTTGGCCACAGCCCGGGGGTGGGGGACCCGGGACCAGGGGGCTGAGCTGCTGCAAGAAAAGGGTCCAGAACAGCAGAGGAGCGAGGGCTCTGCGCGGAGGACAGAGCCGCAGGCAGGGCGCGGGGCTATGTACACCAGGAGTAGAAAAGGGGAATTCCGACTCGATCGCTTCAGTAGCTGATGCTGAATATAAAGTGAGGTGTATGTTTTTGTTTTTGAAGTTTCATGAGACAGTGGAGCCATGTTGTGAGCCCGGGTGGTTTGTAATTTTTTGCTGCTTCCCCTATTCCAGCGATTCCTGCCCAGCCAGGGGTTCCTACCTACTCCCTGATGTGTTCCCTCCACCACCTGGCAGGCCAGCACTGCTACCCTTGCTGCTACTCCCACTGCCTCCACACCTGCCCAGGGAGCAGAGGACGGGGCTGTGGGCCTGCTGCCCACCCACTTCCTGTGGGTCCCTGTCCTGGCCACGGCCATCCAGCACCATAGCACTGTGACTCCCAACCTCGCGGTGCAGCCGGGCCCAGCCTGTCACTTGCCCTCTGCTCCCCAGCAGGACTGGGTTCTGCAGGGGAGTGGCAGGGAGGGCTGCACCCCAGCAGGCAGCACGGGTCAGCCTTTACTCCCACAGACCAGGCACAGGGCCTTCTCCAGAGAGAGACAGCCAGCCAGCCAGTAAGAACGAGTCCTGGCCCCGAGGACCCACCTGTCCAACCTTTCAGGTGCAAGGAATGGCACCGGGCCAGCTGCGCATTCTTCATCTCTCTGCAGCCAGACAGGGGCCCTCTCTTGGGGGGGCGGGTAGGAGGGTGAGGGGCACCCCGGAGTTCTGAAACTACGTCAGCCCTTTTTGGTGGAGTTGGACCCCAGGGCTGCTGGTCAGACAGCTTCCTCTCCAGGCTGAGGGCGCAGGTGGAGCAGCGTGGCGTGGGGGAGGGAGCTGGGGCCCAGAGAACGCAATATGAGGGTGATGGGGGCCCCAGCCGGAGCCCCCAGGGATGAAAAACTGTCCACCTGCCCCCACCCAGCCGTCCCCTACACTGGCACAGCTGGCAACAAAGATCAAGTCCTGCCCGCCTGCTCTTCCCTGCTCAGGCCCGGGCCTTCTCCTGCGCGGAGCCCACACTGCCTTGGGAGTGGGAGCCAGGAAAGGAAGACTGGATAGAAAACAGAGATCCCCCCAACAGCCTTCCCCTCCAACTCTACCCCACTGCGTGAAACGTAGAGGGGGCACTTCTGCACAGCGCTGCCGGCCGGGGCAGGGGCGAGGGACGCGGGAGGGGCCCGCCTTGTCCTCCGTGGGGCCGCTCTCCATGCGCCCCCTGCTGGACGTGCTCCCTCGGTGCAGGTGTGCGGCCAGGACGCGGGATGCGGACGCGGACTTGGTTGGATGCCTCTTGGTTTGGTGGTTTTTTTGTTGCTTGGATGTTAACATCTTTTTTGTGTGTTTTCTGTTTTGTGATTTTTTTTGTTTTTTTGTTTTTGCCCTTCATGGTCCAAGAAGGAAACGGTGGAAGGTTTCACTACAACAGAAACAGAAAGGCAGGGCTTGCGGTTTCTTGGGAGCAGCTGCCAGGCACATGGTGGCCCAGTGCCCTGACCCTAGCACCCCCAACCTGCTCCACAGCTTTGGGGAACACGCCATCTCCCGTAAGCTGTATTTAAAGCAGACCCCTGTCTTGCAGGGCTGAGGGTGTATGGACTGCGGGGGTGGGCAGATGTCAGGGGGGCCTGGCTGGACGGAGGACCAGGGCAGAGGGCAGGGCATGGGGAAAGAGGCTGGGGGCAGCACGGGCCATGAGGACAGGCCTGGATGAGGTGGCTGAAGGCGCCAGTCCTGGGAGTGAGAGGTGAGGGGCCCCACTCCATAGCAGGGGGCCAGTGGGGACCCCGCCCCCCACCCTTGAGCTGGCCTTCCAGCCCCGGAAGCCCAGCCTTGGCTGACCCAGAGGCTGGGGGCTACTTTTTCCTGTTACAGAGCTACAGGTGCGGGTGCTCAGGCCAGCACCTTCCAGGAACCCACCTATCCTGGCCATCTCCCCCTGAGTGGGGCCAGCAGCTACCAGGGCTGCCTCGGCTGGACCTCAGGCCCCAGCCAGCATCTCCCCAGGAGACCTACACACTGGGCCGGGCGGGACCCGCAGGCCACCGTGCACACAGCCTCTGCTGCTGCCGGGCTGGCGGAGCGGCCGTGCAGGAAGCCAGCCTAGAGCGCTGCCCTGGGGAGGCCTGAGCAAGGGCACTGCTTTGTTGCTCACATGTTCCCCACTGAGGACCCCCTGTTCTGAAATGTACCCCAACAGAGAGACACTTGGAGCTGGCAGACAGGGCTGCGGCTCAAGAACAAGCACCCAGTGCAGGGCTGGCCCGACCCCGCCACGGTGGGGTTGGGTGGAGGGGCCGGGGAGCGCCCCCTGCTGGCAGGACCCAGGCTCCTTCCTCAGGCGGCTGAGCAGGGGCCGTGGAGGGAGGGCCTCGGGGCTCTGCAGGGCAGGGAGCAGCTGGGGCAGGGGTAGTTTCCTCCCCATTTCCATTTCCCACATAGCGCTGAGGAGTCCCGAAACTGTCGTGACCACAGCAGTTTGCACAGCACGCAACGTGCTTGTGACTACTTTGGCAGGAAACGTCACCAGTAAAAATTAATTAGAAATACTGATTTCAGCTGAATGAGGCTGAGGAGTGGGGAGGAGGCTACTCCTGCGCAACGTGCTTGTGACTACTTTGGCAGGAAACGTCACCAGTAAAGATTAATTAGAAATACTGATTTCAGCTGAATGAGGCTGAGGAGTGGGGAGGAGGCTACTCCTGTGATTAGCTGGGTGAGGGCCGGACAGGACTGTTGTCGAGTCTGGGGAGACCCACGTAATGGGGAAGGCTGGAGCTCCTGGCTCCCTGCATCAGGGCACAGAACAGCAGGGAAAGGCTAGGGGCTGGGGTCACAGCGCCGGTGTGGTGGTTTCCGGGGAGGCCTGGCTGGGTGATTCTGTGGCTCTGAGGAGCCTGGGTAGCCGTGAAATGTGGGTGTCACCCTCGAGGGGCGCTACTGCTAGTCCCGTGGAGAGGGCTGGCTGATCTGCCCCAGCCCGGCCACCCCATTATGTGCATACCGTACCTGGAGTGGCCTGGGGAGCACAACATCAACAAAGTCAGAATAGGAAACCAAGGTTTCAGACATACAGGAAGAACAGGGTCAAAGACACACACACCATCATGGGTGGGGTGGGGAGACCAGCTGGCCAGAGGTAAAAATCTATGGATTTTAAAGTCGCGGAGGGTCAGCGGTGCGAGTCGCTGACCGGGAGGGGCGCAATGTCCTCCTGGTGGCTGTGCCTGGTGTTTGGATGCTGGGTTTGGTTTGTAATAGGCAGGCAGTGTGAATGCTGTTAGGGGCTGGGTCTCTTGCTAGTAGGGGGTGAAGCGGCTGTGCCCTCCACGGCAGAGGCTAGCCTGCAACATCAAAGATGAAAAACAGCCAATCAGTACCGCCTTTTGGTAGGGGAGAAAAAAGCAAAAAGAAAAAAAAAATAAGGAAAAACAAAAAGAGAAATAGCTAAGTTTCTCCCCCGTTTTCTTCCCCCCTTATAAGTTTCCTTGGGGAGAATGGGCTTCGAGTCGTCATGGGAACAGGAGGGGTGGGACCTATTTCTGTTGTGGTGGTGGTCGGGGCCAGGAGGGGGTGCTGTGGGGTCGCCAGCCTACAGTGCTTCTGGTTCACCAGCTTCTGTGTGGTCTCTTGGCCACTTCTCTGGACTCAGGCCTAGCCCCTCACCGGCCTCCATTGTCCTTAAGTGGAGGGAGGTCCGAGTGAGCCCCACCTCCTCAGCACTCCAGGGGGGCTGTGCAGGACACTGGAGAGGGCAGAGGGAGCTCCTGACAGGGTTCCCCGGCCTTGGCTCAAGAGCCCGGGGCCACCAAAGCCAGCTTCACCTGGAGGGGCACAGCTGCTGGGAACAGCTCTGAGGGGCTTTCTCTCTGGGGTCGCCCAGGTGCTCACCAGGGTCATTGGGCTCCTCCTGGGCCCAGCCTGGGCCAGGCCCTGTAACTGCCAGGAAGGACAGGTCTTGGGTGCTCCAGCCCTCCTACACCCCTAGGCTGACCCAGACAGGGAGGTGCCACAGGAGCCTCCCACCCCACCCACCAGTTTTGCCAGAAAAGGGAAGAAAATGGCAATTACAAGAGAAGAAAAGATTGGGGAAAAAATATAAAATCTTAAAAAAATGGAAACATAAGAGGGAACCCTCGCGACAACATCCTAGAATGTAAAAAATAAGATTAATAAAATTTCATTTTCTTTAAGAAAAAAAAAAAAGAGGGACCCCTCGGTGAACTAATGAAAGCTTCTAGCTAGCACCTGCCCTGAAGGCCAGGCCAGGCTGGCTCAGGAGCCCGGGGCCCTGCCTGGGAAGGGGCTGCGGGGCCTGCTCCCTGAGGCTGCGGCAGTCCCCGCAGGCTTCTTGGGATTTCTGGACTTGTGAAAAATCAAAAAAGACAAAACAAAATCAGGAGGGAGTGATCAAAACCAAGGGAGATGGAAAAAAGATCCCCCCATGTTGCCTCTGAATCCCCTCCCTCCTGACTCCCCCCAAAAGTTTTCATCTTTGATGCTTGATGCCACGCTAGCTAAAAACCAACATTAACAGCCCCCTGGAGGTAGGTGTCCACTGGAAGCAGGTTCTGGGGTACAGAGTTAGCTGGGCTGCATGTGTCGACAGCTGGCCATACACACACACACACAGACACGCTGGCCCGCACGCCTCCGGCTGCAGCCGGGCCCACCCTAAGTGCATCCCCTCCACCTGCCCTGCCCCCACCAGCCCATCACCTGTGGGATGAGACTGCGGTACAGCCCTGGACCCCAGAGGAGGAGAGGCTGGGTGAGTGGGTAGCCCTGGGTCCCCTCCCTGATATGAGAAACAGTGTGTATGGGGGGGTGACAGGACTTGGGGGGCCATGGCAAGACATGCCCACGAGAGGGAAAGTAGACGCCTGCAGAAACAGCCCTCGGACCCCTGGAGCCTCTGCTGGGGAGGAGAGGTGGCCCTGGCTTGGGTGTTTTGGTTTTCCAGGTGGTGGGAGTGGAGAGGCCCTAACAGGATGGTGGTCATGAGGCTCAGAAAAAGGTGTCACACCAGGATGCTTCCCAGAAGACCAGACATTACTGGTGGGCTGACCATCTGGTCAGACACGCCTCCCCCCAACCGAGAGAGGGCACAAAGGGGCAAGCCCTCCCCCAGCCCCAACTCAAATCCAGCTCGTGGTCCTTCCAGTCACCAGGGCTGAGGCACTGGTCGGAGATCTGGGCCTCTCCCCACCCCCACTGCAGCGCTGTACCCTCTGGTCAACACTGGTACCAACGGCCAGGTGGGTCCCACCTCCTTACCATGGTTCCAATGCTGTAGGTCGCTGCGGGGCCGATGGTGTGATGGTAGGGGTCAGCAGCCGCATAGACTCTGCCGTAACTAGGGGGACAGTGTGGGAGGGAGATGTGGGGCATTGGGGTGGGGGATAGGGGCAGGTGAGTAGCCGGCAACAGGCCTCCCGCCTCCTCCCAGACACCGAGTGGGCATCCCCCAGTGGGATCCCATCTGCAAGGCCCCCTTCCTCCCCTGCACAGCCCTCCTCGCCGTCCTTCATGCCTGTTTGGAAAGAAGGGTCTGGAACACAACAGGCCACCCTCTCAATACATCAGTACATGCAGACCCTGATGATGGGCCACATGTTCCACCTGGAGCCATACGGAAGGGAAAAGGAGTCCTCCCAGAGCGTGTCTGGAGGAAAATGAACCACAATCCCCAGAAAGGACAGGGGCAAAGTGCTGGGGACAGGGCTGCAGAGAAGAGAAAAGATCTATGTGGGAGGGACCAGGGACGTCGCCACCAAGGAGGTGGCACTGTGTCCCCTGATGACCTTCCTCCTATCCTATTTATTTGTGCAATGAAATCTCAGCTTCTTAGAGGACAGGGCTGGGTGTGGGACCCTGCCCACTACACCCACCAGACAGTGCATGGGAAGGTGGGCCAGGTGGCATGCAGACAGGAGCAGGAGCTGCCTGAGGAAGCGCCCACCGCACGCCCAGCACAGGGATTTACATGTTTCCCCAGCCCCATGGCCCAAACAACACCTCTGCCCCAACAGGCCAAGGGCTCAAAGCTGGGTGGGGCCACCTACGGGGTGTGTGTGTGTGTGTGTGTGTCCACAGCTGGGTGGAGGGCTGGCTTCTCTCCACAGTGCTCAGTGCCCACCCTGGTCCCCATTCTATGGGAGGAGGGAGGCAGACAAACTCCACCTTTCCTTCTCTGAGCTAGAGAGTTTCAGGTCTGGGAGCACTGGCACGGATCAGAAGCCAAGCTCCTAATTACCTTTCTCACTTGGGGCCTCCAGAGCTGGGGAGGGGGCTGTCAGACCTCCAGGGTCAGGAATCAGAGGTGCTATGTGCTGTCTGAGAACTGGGGGTCTCCAGCACCTCCCCACATGTGCAAGCAGGAAATGACGGGAGGAAGGGCTCACCAACTCAAAGATCTCCAAGCTACGCTGGGACCTGCGCTCCTGTCCAGACCCTGCACCATCAGGCACAGGCACCACAGGCTGTGACCGGTGCCCACAGGGACCCTCGTCCATCCTCTCCCCAGCTCCCTGCCCCAGCCTCACCTGTCGCTGTAGGCCGCTGCTGCCGCCGGCTGAGCATATCTGTAGGCTGCATAGCCTCCCTGCAGGCAAGTAGGAGGGAGAGATGGCAGATGGACTTAGTGGGGCTCGCCCAGCAAATGGCTGCGCAGGGGAGAAACTGGGGCGGACACAGACCCTGCAGGGCTGGGCCCCTCAGGAAGGACTGCGGACCTTGCCTGGCCTGGGGCACCTGGCTTCTGATCTAATGGAGGTCTGAGGACTGCAGGCTGTCAGGGGTGCGGCTCACTTCATTCATTCACTCATTTGTTTGCTCGTCCACCTGTGCATTCAACACACACCAGTGGGCACCAATTACACTTCTGGCTGTGTGCTCGGCCTCAGCTCACAGCGGGTGCCCAAGGACCTGCCCCCAGCCACAGACTCCTGACTTGGGTGCTGATGGGCACGTCTATGCTATCCTGGACACGAGGAGGGCTCAAGGGCATTAACTCAGATGACGTCTTGGCTTTAGATGAGTGGGTAGCTGAATTATGGGCAACTGCCCAGGACTGAGGCGCGGCCAGGTATGTGGAGTGGGGGTTGTCAGCAAGGGCTCTGAGCCAGAGGAAGCAATAAGTGCGGTTGCATGAGGGGAGAAAGACCCCATCAAGGCCCGAGAGCACAGGCACCCTGGAGCCCCTGGCTCCTGGTCTCTCTCGGAGCCTCTATGCTGGACACGGCTGCCCCTGGGGGCTCACACACTGACCCCACTGCAGTTAGGAACACGGGAGAGTCCCCCGCTGCCCCATCATACAAGGCCTTGCCCAGTGGAGAAGACGCCTTCAGATCTTAGGGCTGCCGGGGGCTCCGCTAGCTACTCTCTTGATGAGCACGGACAAGCCAGACTGAACTGTGCCGGGACCCCCTGGGACGCAAGGGCAATGGGGAGGGGGAGCAGGCGGTGAGAGGGAAGAGCCGACTTCTCACTGAGACAGACGTGCCGATCCCACCCGCCCCTCCCCGGGCGGCACTTACATAAATCTCAGCACCATAAAATCCATCCTGATACACGACCCTGGAAGCAAATGGACAAGAAAGTGGTGGGAACGCTGGAGAGGCGGGGTAGGCCGGCTCCGGTGTCTGCTGAGGAGGGAGGGGGCACGGCGCCAGCCCCGCCCACGGGACTGGCATTTTAACAAGCGTTTGCTCCAGGGCCCTGTTTTGGTATAACAATAGAGTAACACCTCGCTGGTCAGCGCCTTTCTCCCACAAACCCGGGGCCCGTCGGCCCAGTCCTGCTCACCCCCCACCCTCCCCCAGCCAGCTGTCCCCCCCTCGGGGATGGAGGGCACTGGACCCCGGGACAATGGACGGAGAGAGCTTAGAGAAGCCCCTCACCGCCTCGACCCCTCCATCACAGCATCTCAACAAGGTGCCGGGGCTCTGAGTGTCCCCTAACTGCCAGTGACCCTCGGCGATGTTCAGCCGTGGTGGGGTACTGACAATGGAGGTGGCTGCGATGCTCGATTCTGGGGTTCCCGCAGCCCCCCTCTCTCCCCGCTCCCCCCAGTCTGGAAAGGCTGCCCAGCTTCTCGCAGTGCCCAGGGCTTTCCTCCCCACCACACCCCCCCACCCAGGTACTCACGCTCCGTAAGCCGGGATAGGAGGCGGGGGCGGTGCAGCCCGAAACGTATTGTACACGGCCCGGCCCCGGCCCCGCAGGTGCGCGCCCCGGTAGGCGACTGCAGTGCCGGTGGTGGGGTAGGGGAACCCCGTCACTGCGGGAAAGGGGGCCGGAGAGGAGAGTGAGAGGGCGGAGCGACGGCAGGAGCCAGCAGGAGGGGCCCTACGCACAGTCCCACCTGGCCCCCACCCACCTGGCCCGTGAATGCCTCCACCTGCACCTGCCCCTGCCCACCTGTACCTGCCCTTAACCACGCCCACCTGACCCTGCCCCTGGCCCCTAACCCTTACTACGGCCACCTGGCCCTGCCCTTAACCGCGCCCACCTGCCCCTGGCCCCGCCTCTGACTGCGGCCACCTGGCCCGCCTCCCACCCGGTACCTGACCCGGCCAGGGCCGCCCCCGACCCAGCATTTACCTGCATAGAATTCAGGCCCATAGACTGCGCCTACCACGGGGTTTAGCTACCTGCATAGAATTCAGGCCCATAGACTGCGCCTACCACGGGGTTTAGCTTCCATCCTAGAACAGAAGCAGATATCCAGTCACCAGCTTCCCCATCCTTTCCCCACCTCGCCCTATGCCTGGGAACCCCAGAAACACGGGCCGAGCCTCCTGTGGACACCCCGGGGCCATGGCCTCTGCAGAAAGCTGGTCAGGGCCCCTCCCTCCGCAATCCAAAATCGGGTGGGTAGAGGAGGCCAGACACCTACCCCCGGGCCCTCTCCCAATGCCGCTGGTCTCCCTGCCTCCTCCTTGATTAACAGGGTGTGTCATTCCTGACCCAGCCACCTGGGTCTCTCTTGGATTCTTTCCAAATCGTGGCCCTCCCCAGTCTGCTCTTGAGCTACCCCTGCCCCAGGACACCAGCCCCACAAGCTTAAGGTACGAAATTTCCGCAGAAGATAATTAGGAAAAGAAAGTGGAACATGTTACATAACTGTCTGCGGCCGTGGCTGGGATAAGGGTATTGGTGTCGTTGGCCTTGGCACAGCCATGTCATCCCGGGCCTGTCTTGTGGGGGCTCCTGGCCACCTGGCAGGCTGGTCAGAGGCTGCAGGAAAGATGCTTGGCTTCTGCCCATAACCTCTCCCCTCCTCCTGCTCGGAACTCCTAGGGCTCCCCTTCCCCAATGCTGAGCCCTGCTCTTGCCACCCTCCTGTCCCCATCTGTCCCCAAAGCAGCTGGCCAGGAAGGCCACCTGGAGAGGAGGTGGGGGAGGAAAGGGCCTTTGGATTGGGGACAATAATAGCAATGGCTAGTATTTCCTGAGCATGTCACAAGTGCTGCACAGAGTTCCGACCCCACGGGTCCTCACGACCTCCCAGTCAGGTAGGGGTCAGACCCTCCCCATTCTGTAGATGAAGAAATGGAGATTTGGAGAGGCGCGGCAATCTCGTGTCATAGCTGGTGAGTGGCAAAGCCCCATTCGTGCCTGCAGCCCTCCACCAGACCCATGTCCCTGGCCACTCTTGGTCGCAAGCTGTAATCTGCATCCCAGCCTCTCCCTTCCTGTAGGTGGGCCAGGACGCAGGAGCGAACACCTGCTTCTACCTGGAAGCCTCTGGGAGTGGAAGCAGTTGGCTTTGGGTGGGCTCCGCCTCAGGCATTCAGACGGGGTGGGCAGGGAGGGCTCGTTTTACCAGGCCCAGTCCCTTGCCCGCCTTAGCTTACCCATGTCTTATGTTTGCAGCGTGCCCTACAGGTCCAGCTCCTTGTCCCTGTGCACGGTGTGAGGAGGGGCAGAAGGGACCTGAGCTCACTAGGAGCTAGTGAGATACATCTGGAGAGGGTGGCAGTGGGCCCAGGCTGGGCTGTCAGTGGCAGACTCCATTTATGACCCCCCAGACCAGGTCCTAACCTACTGCAGTGGGCAGACTGCAGGCATCTAGGACAGAGCGTCTGGGGCCTGTTCCTCCTGGTGGCTGATTCTCCACACCCTCGGTGAGGCCGTGAGCTGCCTTCTGTCCCTGGTCCCCCGTCACCTGACTGTGTCTGAATGTTATTGCTGGGCTTTGTAATTTTCCATAAATCTGAGACGAGGAGGGAAGACATGTTTTGTCTTCTGGGAACACCTTCATCCTAAGAACTGACTCTTCTTAGGAAAATGCCCATGCGGGAGCAGAGTCCTGGAGACCACGGCCCGGAGCCCTCCTTCCCTCAGTGTCTTCTGGGCCCATTCCAGACGTTGAGTGAGGCTTGGAGGCTGAATGTCTGCTTCAGATGGTCCAGGGCACCTTGACTGTCAATTCTGGCTCTCTCGGTGCCCCCACCTGTCTGCTGGCCCTGGCTCACTGTCCGGAACTCCAGACACACACGCAGCCTGGATGGCCCTTTGTTTCTACTGTGAGTAGCTAACGCCTGGTCAAACCTGGCGAGTTTGCTTTCTACGGTGGGAACTTCTGCCCCAACTGATGAGTTTCGGAGTGTTAAGGCAATGTCATGCCGCACTCACAGGCCACCAGAGCCTGTGCTGGGCGGCTTCTGTTCCAACCTGCAGAGAACCGGGTCACTCTTGCCCGGGTCAATGGAGACACTTAAGGGAAACTGCCTTGCTGCAAAGGCACGCAGAGGTTTCTGCCTCTCCCCGTTCCCTGACATTCAACCAGTGTCGGCCACGTGTCCTTTGGGAGCCAGTACAGGGTGTGACTGTTCAAGGATCGATGCCACTCTGAATTCCATCCTCCTCAGTTCTGCTCAGAGGAGCAAACAGCAGGAAGCTGGTTCCAGTTCTGTAGCTCCCAGTGATCACACTTACCCTGTAAAAGTATCTACCGCTTTTACTTGTCGCCAAGCACCAGGTCACAGAAGACTCACGCCCAGGATGCACTTGGGACACTGGGAAAGCTGGGACACTTCCACAGTTTTAGAGAGAATTTGAGATCTCAAAGTCCTCAAGAGAGCAGGATGGCGGGCACAATAATCAAGTCTAAAGTGGGCCCAGCCAGAGTCCCCCGCCTGGGCCCACAAACTGCCACTGGGATCATGAGACAGATCCGCCACATCACATCGAGACGTGAGAGGCTGGGGGTGACTTGGTCCAGGAGTCCACGCCCACAGGAAGACCTGTCCCGACTACGGGCAGCACGGTGGCTCTTAACAGATCCCAGTGAGGAAGCTGCTCCCCGCAAGCAGCGGGAGCTAGAAAAGGCCCCGACACGTTGCCAGCCACACTCAAAGCAGTCCCTCTTGCCGGGTGGAGTTAAGACGTGCGGTGGCCATCAGTGGTCTCTCCACTTCTCTGTGCAGCCAGCACCTAGCATCAGCACATTCATCTTCATGGAAGACACAGGCAGGATCACTCAGTTTACCCACACTGGGGACCAGCAGGGCTCAACCTGGGGCCTCAAAGCACTTCCAGTGTTTCCAAAGCCCAGGGGAGACAGTCCTCTGATCACTGTCACACTCACTACACGTGGAGCATCCTTTCCTGGGCCCTTGCCAGGCTGTGCCACCGCTTAGAGATGCTATTTGTCATTTACAGCCCTGGGGGGTGGGTGTCATTATTCCTGTTTTGCAGATGAAGAGACTGGAACCAGGAACCTGTCTTAGGCCCCCACTGCCCCTCTGTGACACCCCCCATTCCCCGGGGCCTGTGCACACTGAGAGTCGTTGCAGCATATCTGACCACAGAATCCTTCAAATACGTGTCCCTGGGAGAAAATAAGTAATAATCCAGGAGGCCACCGCTGTCCCCCTCTGCCTAAAGCCTGTGTGTGTGGCCTCTGGGGGCCACGCACGCTGGGAAAGCCCAGGGGGGCTCTGATGACACACTAGCTGTGTCTGTGTGGGTGGCTCCCAGCTGTCCTCATTCCACCCACCCCCTCTGACGGGGGCAGAGCAGCAGCCAGGGAGCAGGGACACAGGGGGGCACTTAGCACCCAGGAGGTTGGCCTGCAGCACTCAGCTCCCCCAGGGCCTCTGTCCAGCCAGCGGCCCCTGCAGCCTCCCGGGGGTCCTGGGTCTCTTACCATTGCTGTAGGGGTTCCCAGTCTTCTTGTTCGTCATGACTCGGGCTGTGGCATTATTGACCTATCCAGAGAGAGAGAGAGAGGATAGGGGAGCATTAGCTCCCTTGCAGGCCCACTGGCCACCCCAGTCCTGCCCTGCACTGCTCCGGCTCCCCCATGGCCTCGGTGGAGGGGGCTCGGGGCTGGAAGGGAGGTCCCTGGGCACCCAGGCTCTGCCCAGCCTGGCCCCCTGCTGGGCCTCCTCTCTTTGCCCTTCCTGCGGCAAGCCTCGGCCCCACTGCTCCCAGCACCGGCTAGTGGTCAGCCTGGTACAGGACCCCGAGCCCAGACCCGCTGGCTCCTGCTCTCCACATGGCTGTTCCCACAAACCAACCCAAGGCCACTGGAGAAGCTTGCTGGTGGACTCTCCACAAAGTGCTCTGGACCAGCGAACAGGCCAGCCCCTGAGACATTCTTGGTGACAGCTGACGCCCTCCTAGAAGTGGGTACCGAGATGGCCATCAGCTGGGGAAGCACCCCGTTCCCTCGAAGCCAGAGTCCTCAGTTGCTCTGCACAGCACAGAGCTTTCTGACAGGACATGTGTGCCCATGGGGGCAAGGCTCTGGGCAGGGGATGCCAAGGGGCTGGGTCCTATTTTTGGGACATGAAAGCCCCCAGTCAGGCTGTCCAGGGGCCGGCCTGGGATGGAGGGGGTGGAGAGAGGCCCATGTGGCAGGGAGCAGTGAAGTCAGGCGATAGAGCCTGAGCGAGGGGTCTGGGCCATATCCCCGTCCCCCGTGTCCATGTGTGGGACTGAGGATGTGAGGCCACAGGCTCGGGAGCCCACTAGGTGCTGGGCTGGAGCCTGGCCAAGCCAGTGCTACGGAACACCTCTGCTTCCGGAACCCTTGGCTCGGGCCTTGCACCGCCTGCCCTGCCCGAGGCCTCTGCCTCTGCGGCTGGTACCTCCTTCCAGACACCCCTCCAGCCACCCAGAGCTGCAGCCAGGAATCACGCAGCCCACCAGCTCTCTGAGGCTCCAGGGAAGGGGAAGGGAAGGGGCAGAGAGGGGCAGTGTCTGGGAGGGACCCCCAAACCTCCTCCCTGCTGCTCCACAGGCTGGGTCACTCTCCACGCCCTGACCATTTGCTGCTGCTGCCTGTTTCTACCTAAACAAGGGCTGGGAGTCGGGGCTGAGGGGGTGCAGCCAAACTGCAGGGGCTGGGTAGTGTGGGGAGGGGTGGGCAGCTCAGGGGAGCCAGTCCCCTCCCAGCTCTGGGACAGACTGAGCTGGCCATAGTCCCTCAAGCTGCCAAGCCTCGAACACACGACTTCTGGGGTGTGCCTGGCTGGGGACAGGCCTCTTCCAGGAAGTGGGAGGAGGATGCAGGGGAGGGAAGGGACCCTTGGGTGAGCCTGAAGCCTAGACCAACAAAGGACACAGGTGCTGGGGCTCAGCTGAAAGCCAGTGATGCGTGGGGCTCTGGCGTGACCGTTCCTTCTGCCACGGGTGACCCTGGCTGGGCTCTCTGCAGTGCCCAGCAGCGGTGGGGCTGACTGGGGGGACCAGGGTGACAGGCGAGCGTTCTCAGGGCATCCCTGCAGCAGCACACTTATCTGAGCACCTCAATTTTCCGTCCCTCTACGATCGTCCCATTCAGCTTCTCCCGGGCTCGGTCAGCATCTGAGCTAGTTTCAAAAGTTACAAACCCAAAACCCTGTGAGCAGAGGAGGACAGACACGGAGAGAAAGACGTAGGATGAGAAAAAGGAAAAAAAAGAAAAATGGGGGGGTGGGAAGGGGGACAGGGCAAAGGGGGGAGGGGGAGAGAGAAAGAGAGGGAGAGAGAGGGGGGGTTGAGTCAGGTGAGTTGAAGCAGAGACTCAGGCAGCCCAGAGGTCTGTCCTGGTGCCACCGGCAGGATGCACAGGAGGGGTACGGGCCCCGGGCAGGGGCGGTTAGTTGCTGGCCTGGCCTGAGCCCAGCCTGAGCTGACCACTTGGCACCTCCAAGGGGACAGGTCAATACAAAGAGATGCTAACCTGGCCAGGGGCCAGGCCTGCCCCCCTAATCCCACCTCGGGGAGAGCTGGGGCCAAGGCTGGGCTTCAAGACCTACAGGGAGACGGGGCAGCCCCACCCACCTTCACCCTAGGAACCGGGGTGGGGGGTCTTGCCTTCCTGGAGGGGGGATCAGGGCTTGTCTTTGCTGGGCACCCTCCCTGGCCTGCCCACCCTGCAGCCCCTCCCCCAAGCCTCCCAGCCACCTCTGAGGGTGGGCCTTCGGTGGGGGTGGGGACCCAGGCCCAGGGGCTCTGGGGTGCCAGCAAGAAGTCCTGGCGGCTCAGAGGGAGAAGGCAGCCACAGCAGCGACAACACAGACGGCGGGGGCGGGGGCGGGGGGCGGGAGAGCGGGGAATACAAGCACCCGTGTCGCTCAGGGGTCCTCGCTCGAAGCTCTCCAGGAAGGACACGCACATGTCACACGTTAGCCTGGCGGGACCTACAGCCGGCGCTGTAATGGTGGCGGCCTCTGCGCGGCACCCACCTTGGAGCCCCGCTCGTTAAAAATGATCTCCACGTCTAAGATTTTTCCGAATTGCTGCAGAGACAGAGACAGAGGGGAGGGGTGGGGGAGACAGGAGAGGGTGGGTTAAGACGCTGGCCCGGCCTGCGCTCCGCTCCTGAGACGCTCAGTCCAGAGGGGCAGGGACGGTCCTCTCCACCTGCTGGAGGGAGCCTGTGTCTTTCTCCCGAGGGAGCTTTTCCTGCCAGGGCACTGGCCGCATCTGCCTGCTGGGGCTGGGGACGTGGGTGGGCGTGGCATAACCAGTGTCCCCTCTCATCTCCCTGCTGGCAGGAGGTCACGGTGGGGATGGGACACCCAATGCATGACAGTGCCCCCTAATTCACACTAAAGGGTAAAGGGCTACCGAGAGGTCCTTCTCCAAGGGATGAGGGAGGGGCAGAGAGAGGGACACAAGTCCTTGGAGGGGACAAAATGCCACGGATAAAGAGAAGCACTGGAGCTCGGAAATGGGGCTGGAGACCACTGAAGATCAGGCTCCCCGAGATGGGAGGGTGAGGGGGAAGAGAGGGGGAGGGGGTCATCGGGTTGGGTGAAGATGGGTGGGGAAGGGAGGGGCAGAGGCAGAGAGAGGAGGCGGAGGCCTTACGCCCAGGACCCTGGACCCTCCACTGCCACCGCCTGTGCTGTGTGGAGCTGGGCTGTGAGTGGGGTGCAGAGCAGCAGGACCTGAACCCGGTGGGACCTCACTCCATCAGTGGCCTGGAGCCCCAGTGGGCAGCTCTGTCTCTCTCACTGGCAGGTTAGGCCATGAGCCTGTGAACTAGATCCCCCAACAATGCCCGTGAGATCCCCGGGGCACATCCTGAACCTCCTGTGCAAGCAGCTTACAGTGGCTTCTCTTTACCTCGAAACACACCCAGATGTGGGGACAAGGGGGCAATGAGGCCCAGGTACTGAAAAGAGGGGGACATGGCCCCTGTCCTGAAGGACCCAGTGAGCGGATGCACGTCAGTGTGCCCCATCCTGTAGGACCCAGTGAGCGGATGCACGTCAGTGTCCCCCGTCCTGTAGGGTCCAGTGAGCGGATGCTTGTCGAGGGGAGCAGGAGCTCCATAACATCTGCTGCTTTAATGAGGGGTTGCAGGCTCAGACAGGTCCGGCAGTTTGCCCAGGCCCTGGGTTTAGAGGGGACAGAGTCCTGGTCATCTGATGTTCTCAATCATGCCAGTCCCTCAGTGAGTATAAGGTCCTAATCCAATGAGGCCTGGTCCCCAAGATGAGGAGCGAACTTCTGGGGGTCACGTCAGGGGACGAGTGCCAGTCCATCTGGGGGCTGCTCCGGAGCACCTCCGGTGTGCCTGACCAATCCCCGCTGGGTCGGGGGTAGTGTGAGGGGAGGGCTGGGGTCCAGGAGCCAGAAGCTGCCTCGCTGTGGGGCGGGGGCGGGG